TACTTAACGGTGAGAAGGTTAAATAAAGACAAGGTTAAATAAAAACAAGCCAAAACTGTCTCAAAAGCTTTTATGATGACAAAAAGCCCACATCTCCTGTATGTAAGTAGTAAAGTTATACAAATTTTGTTTACGTAATCCAAACATATCTTGGTGGGATGAATAAAATTAAATCACATAAATTTGACTTCAATCATGCAACTTTTGAATCTCACATTCGTATGTTGGATACTCGAAATTGTGTAGGGATAAAACGCTTTTTAAGTCAAATAATGTATGCAAATCTGTGAAATTGAATCAGAAAAGCAGTCGTCTGAAACGATCAAACGCTTTCGACTCGAAAACGTCGGACCTTCGATGCGAATTAATTATGAACTGAATAAACAAAATTCCGACGATTTAATGTTGTCGTAGTCTGGCGGGTATAACCCGGATTAGAATCCCCGGATTGTCAAGTGAAAACTCGCTTTTGCGGACTCATTTCGACTCTAGCAGTTTAAGCTACTATACCAGGTAAAGTCCAAGAGTTTAAAAGCACAAAAGAGACTGAAACAAACTTATACAAACCACTACATTAACCTAGGTATAATTTTTAAGAATTAGTACATTTTTAAACAGTTTAAAAAGTGTTTTAACAATTTATAAGACTAAATGGCAAGTTAGGATGATGGCAAACTTAAAATATGACAAATTTAACTGTGACAATGATAAGTTATGAAAAGTTTAAATGACGACAAGCTTAAATGATGACAAGCGCAAATGATAATGATGAACGGCTTAAAAGATGACAAAGTTAAATGATGAAATATTACAAGCATAAGCTTCAATAAATACAGGCTCAAAATATTCCTCAAATGATGAAATATTGCAAGCATAAATAAAAAAATCTTAGATTTTGACAATCTTAAAAGGTGACAAGCTTAGATGACGACAAGTTTAAATGACAACATGCCTAACAAATGACAATATAATGACAAATTATGACAAGTTTAATTAAGGATGCGTTTAAATGATAAAGTGTGACAAGCTTTAAAGATGACAGGCTTAAAAGATGACAAAGTTAAAAGGTGACAAGCTCAAATAACGTCAAGCATATATGATGACAAGTTTAAATGTCGACATGCCTAAAAAATGGCAAAACTATGACAAATTAGGCAAAATTTAAAAAGATAAATTATGACAAGCTTTAATGATGACAATATTAGATGATGATAAACTTAAATGACGACAAGCTTTAATGATGACAGGCTTAATAGATGACGAAATCAAATAATGAAATATTACAAGCCTAAATAAAGAAAAGCTTAGAATATGACAAGCTTAAATAACGACAAGCTTAGATGACCACTAGTTTAAATAACTACATGCCTAACAAATGCCAAGGTGAGTTAAAATGATAAAGTATGACAAGCTTAAAAGATAAAAATATTAGATGATGACAGTCTTAAAAGATGACAGTCAAATGATAATATATTACAAGCATTAATAGAGAAAAGCTTACATTATGACAATCTTAAAAGGTGACAAGTTTAAGTGACGTTAAGCAGCAAGACTATGACAAAATAGACAAAATTTAAAATGATAAATTATGACAAGCTTAAATGATGACAATATTAGATGATGACAAACTTAAATGACAATAAGCTTCAATGATGACAGGCTTAAAAGATGACGAAGTCAAATAATGAAATATTACAAGCCTAAATAAAGAAAAGCTTAGAATATGACAAGCTTAGATGACGAAAAGTTTAAATGACGACATGCCTAACAAATGCCAATTTAATGACAAATTATTACAAGTTTAATTAACAATGAGTTAAAATGATAAAGTATGACAAGCTTAAATAATAAGAATATTAGATGATGACAATATTAAATTATGATAAGCTTTAATGATGACAGTCTTAAAAGATGACAGTCAAATGATAATATATTACAAGCATAAATAGAGAAAAGCTTACATTACGGCAATCTTAAAAGGTGATAAGCTTTAATGACGACAAGCTTTGATGACAAGCTTAAATGACGATCTTTAATGATGACAAGCTTAGGACATCTTAAAATGACGATGATCGAACGACCCACTAAAATATCGTATATTAAGAAGCTTAATATTGTCTTTTAAAAAGGTTCAAAAAGCAAAAGGTTAAAATCTTTGAGTAACCCCTGTATGTAGGGACAAAGGGGGCCTTGGCAATCCTATTAAGTCCCAGTGTGCGGCGATAACGGGTCAGCTTGTTCTGTCCCATTAGATCCGGGAGCTTTCCCAATCGCACCCTCTACTCATACACCTCTCGTCTAAGCTCCTTTATGAAGGCTCAATTGAATACCGAAATCCGATTCTACAGCTACTTTATACATCGAACAGGGATGCATATTCCGATTTACTCCGCCATTGCGGTCCTCAGTATGCTTGCTCGTTTCGTCGCTTCTTATTTTAATCTCGATCGTTGATTATCCAAACCGGAAATCTGTACGGTAATCCGTAATCATTGGAATTGCAGATTTTACTGTTTGTTTTACATTACAATGGGATTTTAGACGTGTTATTTGTAGCTTTAAAGTTTATAGTTATATTACTTTGTCAACGTAGTTTTGTAACTCTTCAAACTATTTAAATGACCTTTAAAAACAAACAAAGGTGTAAAAAGTTTACTTCAAAACAGCAACACAAAAAATTTACTCAACTTTAAAATATTTTGAACATTATTTATAGACAGATAAAACTGTTTTAATAAAAGTGACTGACGCCTCATTGGTTATGACATCCGCTTGACAAGCGATAGACCCGACTTCAAACCCCAGCTGCGTCATAACTTTTTTTAATTTAAATCTACTAATTTTACTATTTCATTCGGCAGAATTTGACTAATTATTAGTGACAACCTATTATAGAAAGAATTAGGCTTGTTATTATCTAGGATAAGTTACCCAACTTCTTTCTTTTCTTTATTATTTAATGTATTCAAGCATTTCTATTATATTCTTTTTCCCCCTTTTAACAATTCTCCAATAATCAAAGCTTTCTCAATTAAGGTTGATGGCCTAAAATAGCATGAAAACCATACAAAACCACCAAAAACTAAAACACTAGAGAAGCGCTTATTGTTAACAGAGTGTGACTTTATCGACTTTACGGGCTGTTATTTCATTGTACCAAAATCTCCTACAAAATTTACCATGTATGATATCGAAAGTTTTATGATAAAAGTGTACTAATTGTTAATTTATTGTTTGTTCTGTGATTTATTGGCTTTATTTAACGTATTAACTTATGTTTATAATTTGTTACTGAATAACAGGTAAGTCGTTTACTTTAAAATCACTTAACATGACCAAAGAAAAGTATTTTTAAATTTTTGAGACAATATGGACAAGTTAAACTACGTACTTTCAATAAATGTTATTTTAAATCATATGTTGGATTAATTTGAAAAGACAACATTGCTTGGTTAAATTCTGTGTATTTACGTTCTTGCACAGTTTGGCAATATCGCATTCCCATTCCCGACACCGTGAAAAATGCAAATGAAAACGAAAAAAGGCAAAAACTACCGAAACGAAAAACGAGAAAAAACGCCCACAAACATTGATTTTGCACCCGATTAAACGGTCCCGATGCTCCGGCGTGTATTTTTGCTATTTTAATGCTTCCAGCTTTAAATTCCCTCTCTACCGGTTTTTTCATCGGGGTTTACACAATTAAAGTTTTATTCTGTCGAAAAACGCGTTATCCGGAAAATCGTACGCCTTTGTTATTAGCCGGATTACATTTAGTCATTTTCGCATTTTATTAAACACACATTTAAACTATTTAATCAATAAATGAGGCTTTTGTAGGTACATATTTTTTTTGTAATAGTATTTTTTATACAAGAGAATATTTCATTACCTCGTGTGTAATACTATTCGTTTTATACTCCTATTAACTAATATTCCCTTATCTTTGCACATTTTTCGTAGGCTAGGGTAACTGTGAGAAGCTGGATAAAAATTCTGATGACAAAAATGAAACCTAAGAATTTTCTCATATCGTGCCTGAACACCCTTAGGTAAACTAAGAAATGTAAAAACTTCGTTTCAAGGCAAACAATATTATTATTTACCCGAAGACTAATACGATTATAATAGCGTTCGGCTTGCGTACCTACCCTTAAAGATTAATGCAACAATTAAAAATGTATTAAGGTTTACATGCTCTACACGGCCATTTGTGTGTCGGTCGACCACATCCTTTTATTTTAACCCCAGCACTGCTTGCACCACGCGCAAAATACAAAAATGATTGCTTTTTTGCCCGCCTCCCTTCACCTAATTTAAATAAAATTACGCGGTCACCCCAGAATCGCTTTTAATTTAATTCATTAGTTTCGAATTACTACAGGTATTGTTGTGTTCATTATGTACCTCTAAAATTTTATATTTTCATATCCATTGTGATTTTTATTTAGCCAAACTAAAGGTATTTCTAATGCAACTGTCAACAGTACAGTTAAGCTTGACGAAAGATAACCTTCAAAAACAAAGGCTGTTTGATTGTAACGCGCAAAATAACAATAGCGATACCATTGCCTGTGCCATCTCGTGTCACAATTGTAAACTACATGGGTTACAGAGTTCTTTTATATGTAATGCTAAACTCTAGTGTATTTTATAACAAAGCTGTTTTTATCTAGGCGGTTTCTAAGGACAAGGTTTAAAAAATTATTCACAGACATTTTTTCACATTCCCAGACAGCACATATATCCATTGGACGTCCAGCGAACGACCATTGTACATCCAAACGTCCAATGTAAGTCCATTTGACGTCCAATGGACATCTTGTGCTGTATGGGTTCTCTATTAGTACTGAGGAGCTACTTATTTGTTATTTCATTTTAGGTTTAGAATTCTGTTTCATACAAAAGCTAGGAAATATATCCAAGTTTTCACTATTGCAATGGGGTTATTAACTTATAATTTAGTTCTTAAGACTTATACATATTTACTAGTTACTTACAAATTATAATGTACATCGGCCATATTGGGTTTGTAGGCCAAAGCTTCTCTGTAAGCAGTTTCAGCCTCCCTAAGCCGTCCAGCTGTATTAAGAACGCTGCCCAAGTTCCCCAAAGCTGCAAAAACAGTTTTCGTTAAATATTTCCAGAGTGCGTGGTACAAAACCAAAAATAACTACCTTTAGGCGGATTCACTGGGACAGCGGCCCTAAACAGGGCTTCCTCGTCGTACCAATCAAAGTTCCTCCAAACGGTTTTCGCACTTAACGCTAACAACACAACAAAAAACACGACGGAAAAGTGTTTTCGAGAGTTCGCGTAGCGTTTCCAGCACGACGCCGCGAATAGTCCAAACAAGAGGCAAAAACCCGCACTAGGGAGGTAAAGAAGCCTTTCCGCCACCACGAAACCAACGTAGAAAAACATGTTGGTCGCGGGAAGGAAGGGGATTACTAGGAGAGTAAGGGAGAAGATTATTGTGCCTTCGAACGTCAAGTTTTTTCTCGGGGATGTGACTGCCATACAGTCGCACGCCGACCAAGTGTTGTTGTTGTTATTGTTGTTGTTAGCAAATCTGCATGTAGAACTGTGCAGATTGGTGAAAGTCTCGTGACAAAAAGCGCACTGCGTACTCGTCTCCTTTTTGTTTCTTTGATTCGTTTTGATGGTCACCATTTTGTGCTTCATGCAGTGTTTCCCCTTCTGCGGGATCATCCTACTGTAACACACGTACAACGTTGTCAATATCGTACCATAAAATATCAACGAAACCGAATTTCTCGGATCCAAAACACCCGTCACCCTCGGCACAGCCTCCATGCTCCAATCAAAACTCAAAGGGTGAGGATAAACCAACAGCAAAAAATTGAAAACAGGTAAATACAAGAACGTAAAAGTTCTTGTCAGCAAACAATCTTCTTTCGCTGTTGGGTTGTCGGCCCTGGCAAAATCCGGAGTGATTCCCCCGTAGAACCTCGCAGACAGTGTTGCCAGAGTGCACAGTGATAGAAGCAGGAGACTGCGGTGTTGCTTCTGTAACAAAAAAGTGGTGGTTAGGTTTTTATTAATGCGATTTTTGGAAAAAACATTTTTTGTTTTTGTGGCAAAACACAAACACCAGTTAGTTTATTGGTGGAATGTAATCGAAGTTTTAAAATAAACATTTGATTGGTTGTGTCAATGTTTTGCTCTATCAATGTTTGTGAATGAAACAGTGTTGGGTTTTGCAATTAAAAACTAATTTTGCTTAATTGAGTTTTGTTGCGGACAACTGCTGCCCCCTAGCGGCAGTTTAAGAAAGTGACAGATTGATTGTTTTTAATTTGCATAGAAAAACAATCACAAACAATATTATTAATATTTATTTAAAACTGCTTGTTAAAACACGTTTATAAAATTCGAATATTTTGTATAAAAATATTTTTTATTTTCATTTGTTGATGTATGTGTATAGCAAAATTTCCAAATGTGCATTAAAATCAATATTAAAATTTCATTTCCATGGAAATTAATTAGCAGCCTGTCATTTTGTGTGTGTTTATTCTGAATTTATTATTTTTAAAAGGCTGTACTTTCAAAAATAAAATTTAATTTAATAATAACGTTTTTTCTACGAATGCATATTTTTTAACAACAATTTTACGCATTAAAAAATTGTTTACAAAAATTAATAATTTTTAGAATATAAATTTTACAATATTGGACAATTTGTTTGGGTGTGAAGCATCACACCAACTAAGATAACCAATGAAATGATTTCCCGCTTAAAATAAGAGTGTATCATTGTGAGGTTAGTACCACATTTCTGGTGAGTAATTATTAAATATTATTTTTCCGAATGGGTAGGTAGATATTTGCAAGATAGTTCAGGGACTGGAATAAATCAATAATTATGACCTGGTGATCAAATGAGAATAAAAAGTGTTTCTATGTTCCTACTGTGCTATATTATTGATCAGCTTACTATTTACTTTAGTTTGTAATTTATGTTTACTTTTCAGTTTATATTAACTTAATTCTATCCTTACAAAATTTTTGTGTTGGTCGCTGAATACATCTAATATAACGTTTCCTAAAAATACTGTCAAAAAAACTATATGAATGTTTTTAAAACGATACTATATTTTCTTTATGAAGAAAAACTAATTCACATATTATGTATATAAAATTGCGTGTTAACCTAATGCCATTCCATTCGTTATCCTTGCTAAGCAAAGCCAGTAAATACGTCATGTTTTAACTGTCTTAATATATTATTTTTATCGCGCTCCGCGAAAAAAAATAACAGCTTAAAACTGTTAATCCCCACATAATCTACTGTTGTGTGTAAACTTATAAGGAAACTTTTTCCTTTTAATCTTACAGTTTGTAACGCGAGAAAGGTATTTGTAGAATGTGCTAAAAAGGAATTCAACTGACCCCGTTGCAACGCGTTGTCTTGTCCGTTTTATTTTACTCCTCTTGAGAAAGGAATTTAATTTACATGTGTACCAATGGAAAGAAAACAAGCAAAATCAATAAGGTATTCCAACTTCACGTAGAGAAGATAATGCAAAGTTTTTGCTGGATTCGTAACTTATATTTTCTCACATTTTAGACGGTAGACGTATTAAATCAAATTTGGGATATTTCTAGACAGGTTTAGGGAAATTTAAACCGTTTAAAGGAAAGTTATTTTTGTGTTGGTCGCTGAATACATATTTAATCTATCAACATGTGTATATATTTTTAGATAATTTTGGTATAATTTAGATAAGTTTGAGACAAATTTAAGACTCTTCTTGACATGTGTACAAACCTTATAAAAATCGATATAAGATTATGCAAAATTTCGCCCGCCTCATAACTTTTCCGGAAAAATTCTATTCAATCTGCGGTAAACTTAAAATACACAAGCTACACCATTAAATAATGATTTAAATTTTTACAGCGCCTTTTTTCATTTTCTCATCGCTGCAATCTTTTCCTTATTATATTATGCGCCGCTCGTAGTAAAATCGTTAAAGTTTTAAACATCCGATAAGGGAGTTTAGCGATTAAGTTTCACTATCTTGCTGACCCACATCCACAGACTGCAGAGCGGGGGATCTTATTAAAATTTTGATGGGATTTTACATGGTTCCGTTAATGGCAATATTTAGCGAGATGTTTTTAATGGAATTTCGCTTGTTAGCTAAACGGATTTAATGAACAATCGTTTAGGAAATTTAACCAAATTAAAGTTACTTGCAGGGACGTGGAGGATTTTCCAATCATGGGCTGCAAGTTTTATTAATGTGCAAAATATAAACATTAATTTTTTATTTAGTTTTCACATTCATAAAACTAGTATAACTAGTATATTATTCATAAAACTAGTATAAATAAGTGGCCTTCTCAAACCAAAATGGTAAGCTAAAATGAGACTTGTAAGTTAAAATGACGATATGCTAAAATGATGACAAGCTAAAATATTTACAAAGTAAAATAATGACAAGCTAAAATGATGACAAGCTAAAATATTTACAAAGTAAAATAATGACAAGCTTAAATGATGACAGGCTAAAATAAACACAAAGGGCTAAAATGATGAAAGGATAAAATGATGACAAGCTAAAATTATAACAAGCTAAAATGATTACAAGCTAAAATGATTACAAGCTAAAATGATTACAAGCTAAAATGATGACAAGCTAAAATATTAACAAATTAAAATAATGACAAGCTAAAATGATGACAAGCTAAAATATTTACAAAGTAAAATAATGACTAGCTAAAATGATGACAAGCTAAAATGATGACAAGCTAAAATGATGACAAGCTAAAATTATAACAAGCTAAAATGATGACAAAATAAAATAATGACAAGCTAAAATTATGACAAGCTAAAATGGTGACAAGCTAAAATGATGACAATCTAAAATGATGACAAGCTAAAATGATGATAAGCTAAAATGATGACAAGGTAAAATGATTACAAGCTAAAATGATTACAAGCTAAAATGATGATCAGCTAAAATATTTACAAAGTAAAATGATGACAGGCTAAAATATTTAAAAAGTAAAATAATGACAAGCTAAAATATTTACAAAGTTAAATAATGACAAGCTTAAATGATGACAGGCTAAAATAAACACAAAGGGCTAAAATGATGAAATGCTAAAATGAAAAGGTTTAAACAAGGTAAAATAACAACCTCCTAAAATATTGACAAGCTTATGATAACCAACTAAAATAATCTCAAGGTAAAATAATCAGAAGTCAAAATGACTATAAGCCTAGATATGGAAAAGCAACAAAATGTAGCCTATAATGATGAAAGGCTAAAATGGTGACAATAAAATGATGAATAGTAAAAACCACAAGGTAAAATTCAAAAGGTCAAAGGGACGAAAATCTTAAGTAATAAAAAGCTTAAATAAAACCTTTTATTATGACGATGATAAATTTAGCTCTGGGCAATAAGGTATGTTGTCATTTTAGGTAACAAATATAACGACCTTATAATATACAGAAAAATATCATTCATTATACTATAAGACTTGTCATGCCTGTACAGAAAAAGCTTACTAAAATATACTTTTTCAATATTTCCAAACTTTTGCGAACGAACAAAAGGAAAGTATTCTCACAAACAAAAAAATATTATAGATTTTTGCTTGGGCCAAAGTGTAAATCTGCGCTCACTGTATCATTTGTAAAACACGACAAAAACAGAAGGAAAGCGGAAAGAAGGTAAATCCATTAATAAAGTGAAAAAGGCGGGAGAATGAGAGGGAGAGAAAGCCCGACTGCCAGCTCTCCAGAGAGAAACCATAAAGTGAGAATTTTCAGAAAAGGGTTGCAAATAAAATCAGTGTGTTCTCTGATGAACTGCAGGGCAGACTTAACGATGGAAACCGGCTACATGCGAAGCAAGGGTTTAAACAGAAATGTGTTAATGTATTTTGATATTATCTTGGGCAAAATTGATTTTACCCGCCACCGTTTGATAATGTTAAACCTGAGCGCTCTGACTTTTTGCTAACGCCTTTAATAAGTAAGCAGGGTAGGCCAGATTGGTTGTGCTCGAACGTTTACTACCAGTTAATTAATTTGCCATACAATTTTTTTGCACAAACAATACGATTTTTAATTATGGTTATTTTATCTTGTGTCTTCTCTTGTCTTGTCTTGTCTTGTCTTGTCTTGTCTTGTCCTGTATTTTGTCTGGAAAGCATAAACAGCACACTGAACTCTTTCAACAATAACTTATTTTTATTTGGAATCGTTTTGGGGTTTGACTAAAAAATTCCCGCAGATACAGATACACACAGACAGTGTGCATGGTAGCCGGAACTTCCGTTTCCGTTTCTTCGCGCCATTACGGCAATAAATCGCCTTGCTCTCTGCAGAGCGTCTGATAAACATGTAAATACGAAGTGAGAGGACCGCGCGGGACTGTTCATATTTATGTCCGCATCGAATTACCATAACTCATTAGGTTAAGGGACACTGGTGGCGCAGTCGATGTCGTTGCTATCGGATGCTGTCGAAATATATTCGGCGTACGTTAAGATATCGAGCAGCAGGTCGACGCAACGTATAAATCTCGATAAGGACGGTGTCCGGGTATACCCGGGTATACCCTGGGGACCCCATCAGGATGTTTGCAGAAAACACTTCACGAATATACTGAAAGGATAATGTGGTTATTTGGCACTGCAGCCTTTTTTGTCGCATGAACTGGAATGTATATTTTTAACACCATCGTCATTTTGTTTATAGTTCCTTTAGCTTGTTATAATTTAGGCTTTGAATCAACTACACAAAATAATTACTAGAAAATACAAAAATAGTAACCTCAATTATATATGGGCTCCACTTTGCTGTCTGTAGCAACAACTGAAACTTGTGATGTCTTGTACCAAATAAAAATACACCTCAGAAAACCACCGCACCTTGTCAAACCAATCATAGAAATGTTTCGGTAAATAACTTGAGAAAGAATTGAACCTACACCTCCCCAATTTTTTTTGTTTTGAGTGCGTTCCACCAACTTCAAATACCGACA